TATATTAAAGTTAATTACATTATCCTTCTTTGTAATCCAATCCTGCGAGAGAGCCCATTTGAAATAAGGCGACCGAGACTTCAAGATAACAGAATGTGTTCGAAATTCATTAATATTTGGATTTTCTCCCACTTTTATAATGACATCATAACCGTCTGTATCATCAAGCAATTGAGAAAAGCTTCGAGACAATCTAGGAAGAAATTTGAAGGTCATTTAAAAGGAATTTTCACAGTAAGATTACTATTTTTTAGATTATAAGAAAAGTTTTGCTTAACCCTTATATATAAAAAGTTTTAATCAAATTTTTTTGCGCTCTCTTAATCTAAATCTGGTTAGATCCTGAAAAATTAGCAGAATTTCAGGTGAAAAGTATGAAATATTATATCATTTATTTTTTTTGATTGTTTATTTAATTAATAATTACTAATCTCTTTTCTTTGTTGGTGAACATGACAATTTGTAAATGGTTAAGAATTATTTTGATAATTGGCGAATCTTGATTTTTTTATTTATTTCTTTCGTTTTTGTCTTGGTACGATCGGTATGTTTTTCTTATAGATATTTGATAGCCCGATCAAATAAATTAATTGTTATGGCGTTTATTTGTTAATTGTTTAAAAAAATGATGTAACGAAAATGTAAATGGTGACTTGATTTATCGTTATATAAGCTTGATTTCTCGCATTTTATTAAAAAATAAACGGGAATAATTTTTTATAAAATGGCTTCCGAATTTTTTCCTGGTTTATCTCAAAAGTTTTCTATATTGCTTGAAGATGCGGATGACTATAATACTATTATCAAAGTTGGAAAAAATCCCAATACAAAAGAATTTCTTGCACATTCTAATATCTTGAGAGCGCGATCTCCTTATTTTAAAAGAGCACTTTCTAAGGATTGGGTTACAAAGGATAAGAACAATATGGATAACTTCACAAAACCAAATATTTCTCCTACTGTTTTTGAAATGATTATTAGGTAATATTTTACTCGTATTAATAATTTTGATTTGAAATCACAAAGTTAAAAAACATTTTTTTTTTTTGATTAGGTTTATCTATACTGGCGTTCTTGATTTACGAAAAAAAGATGGTTCGGATATCCTTGATCTTCTTGTAGCGTCTGATGAATTGCTCATTGAAGAGTTGGTTAAATTTGTACAAAATTATTTGATTAAAAATCAAGAAAAGTGGTTGCAACAAAATCTCGTCAAAGTTCTTCACACGATTTTTCAACTGGAAAGTTGCAAACAACTTTTTGATTATTGTTTAGAAACGATTTGTGATGATCCTGAACCATTTTTTAATTCGCCAAATTTTCCAACTTTAGAAGAAAGTATTCTACTTGGATTGATCAAAAGAGAAGATTTACAAATTGATGAAATTGTATTATGGAATTATCTTATTAAATGGGGAATTGCTCAAACTTTGGAATTGAGAGGGAAAGACACTTCTAATTTAGGTAGTTGGAATAAAAAAGATTTCTTGGCTTTGAAGAATACTTTGAACCAATTTATCTCACATATCCGGTTTTTCGAAATTTCTCCAAAAGATTTTCATATTAAGATTTGGCCTTTTAAGAAAGTGTTACCTCGAGCACTCTTTGAAGATGTTGTGTCGTTTCATATGTCAAATATCGTGCCCAATCAACATAAATTGCTTCCTCGTTATAAAAAAGTTCCCATTGATTCAATGATCATTAAACCAAAACATGCGGCTATCCTTGCTAACTGGACTCAAAGAAGAGATGCTAATGCGAGAATTCCAAAGGATAGAAAGTATAATTTTAACCTTATTTATCGTGGAAGTAGAGACGGCTATGATATCAATACTATACGTAGCAAGTGTAACGGACAAGGAGCATGCGTTTTGATTATTAAAACCAAAGAAGAAGGTACTATAATTGGAGGATATAATCCACTTGGTTGGAATTCCAATCAAAATAGAGGTTACCGTAATTATAATTATGAGTATGATGAATGTGAATATAATTATAACGAGAACGGCCATTGGAATAATACTAGTGAAAGCTTTATTTTTTCTTTAGGTGATGGAAACAATTTGAATAATTTTAAGATTAGTCGGGTTGTAAATAATAATTATGCAATGTATGAATCGAATTATCGAAATGTACCATTAAATTTTGGCAATAGCGATTTAGTTATCAATGGAAATGCTGGCACATGCAAGAAAACTTATTATAAAAGTGAAATTTTAGATACAAACAGTTTTACTATTGAGAAAATGGAAATTTTTAGATTTTATCAAAATTGAATAATAATTCTCCTTTTGTTATTTCGATAAATTACAGAAAACATTAATAAAGTTTATCATGTGATAACATCATGATTGTGGCGTTTTTTCATGTCGATCAATATAACCAATTCGGAGATTTTTTTGAATTTTGTGAAACAAAAGTTTTTTAAACAATATAAAGTCAATATTTCATATTCCAATTGTCCTTTTTTCAATCATCTCACCGTTAAAAAAAAAATTCATTGAAAATGGCATACGAATTCTTAACTGGATTGTCTCAAAACTTTTCTAAATTGCTTGATGATACAGACGATTATGATGTCATTATCAAAGTGGGAGAAAATCAGGATATTAAAGAATTTCGAGCACATTCCATCATTTTGAAATCTCGATCGCCTTACTTTAAAAGAGCTTTATCGCAGTATTGGATTACGAAGAAGGATAATATGATTAATTTTACCAAGCCAAATATTTCTCCTAAAATTTTTGATATGATTATTAGGTAACACTTCATAAAATTTTAATCTTACGGAAATTATTATAAACCAAATGTTTGCTGATTTTTAATTACAAAAAAGAAAAGCAATCGATCACTAACTTTTACAAATTTTTTTTAGATATATGTATGCTGGTGTACTAGATTTGAACGTGCAAGATGGCTCTGACATTCTTGATCTTATCATCGCATCCGATGAATTACTTCTTGATGAATTGTTAACCTTTGTACAAGATTATCTGATTAAAAATCAAACTGAATGGATACAAAAAAATTTTTTTAAGATCATTCAAACGGTTTTCCAACTAGAAAATTGTAAACAACTCCAAAATTATTATTTTGAAACTATTTGTATCGAACCGGAATCGTTTTTTAATTCTCCAGAACTTCTTCTATTGGAAGAAAGTATCGTGCTTGAATTAGTTCAAAGAGAAGATTTACAAATTGATGAAATTGAATTATGGTATTGTCTTATTAAATGGGGGATGGCTCAAACTTTTGATTTGAGAGAAAAGGACGTGACGAATTTAAGTAGTTGGAGTGAAAAGGATTTTATTGATTTAAAAAGTGCTTTGAACAAATTTATCGCACATATCCGATTCTTTGAAATTTCTTCAAAAGATTTTCATAGTAAAATTCTACCTTTTAGAAATTTGTTGCCTCAATCACTCTTTGAAGATATCGAATCATTTTATAACGCAAATACTATACCTAAACAAAATGATTTGAGTCCTCGTCATGGAAAAGTTGCTATTGATTCATCAATTATCAAACCAAAACATACGGCCATCATTTCAAATTGGATTCAAAGAAAGGATTCTATCGCGAGAATTCCAAAGGATCATAAATATAATTTTGACCTGATTTATCGTAAAAGTAGAGATGGTCATGATATCAATACTATACGTAACAAGTGTAATGGACAAAGTGCATGCGTTTTGGTTATTAAAACCAAAGAGGATGGTACTATAATTGGAGGATATAATCCACTTGGTTGGAATGATTGTATTCAGCATACTCATGATACTATTTTTAAATATAGTAATTATTATTACTGGGCTAATACTAGTGAAACTTTTATTTTTTCATTTGGTGATGGAAACGATTGGAAAAATTTTACGATTAGTCGAGTCGTAGATGAAAGTAATGCAATTTATGAATCGAATTATCGAAATATACCATTAAATTTTGGTAATAGTGATTTGGTTATCAAAGATGATACTGGTTATTGCAATCAAACTTATTATGAGAGTCAAATTTTAGATTCAAATGATTTTATTATCGAAGAAATGGAGATTTTTAGATTTTATCAAACTGAATAATTACGTTCATTTATTGTTTATTACGAGAATAACATAAAATTGTTTACTTTTATGTATTTTCTACTATAATAAACTTTATTTATTGTGATGGTTCCCTTCAAAAATAGTTGTTGTTCTTTGATATATTTAATGTCATGAGATCCGTAACGTGATACTGATAGCATCTTCCTTTAAGCTATATGTATCATTGGGCGTTCCATCAACTATGAAAATCAAAACATTGTTAAGTATCTCTGATAGGTTAAATAATCTTCTCACTCTCACTAAAATCTATAAATTTTTAGACTTTAATTACTTTAAATTCTTCTTAATATCTTCGCTCCAAATTTCACAAAAACATTCTAAATTCATTTAACAGTTCGTTTTTTCAAAAAATATTATTTACGCTTCAAGAAATAATAAATAATTTTTTTGTACACATCTCTCTAAATAAAAATTTTTTTCTTTGTTGTTTTTCAAGAAAGCGAGGTGTCACATTTTTTTTTAGGTTATAAATTATTCATTTACAGTTTTTTTTTTTGTCTGAATGCCAACATATACCGAAGAATTAAACGTTAAAAATTTAGAATTTTTTATTAGGAAAAATCGTAATTAATTAGGTTCGATATGTATGCTTCACAATAACAATGTTTTGATTTACATAGTTGATGGAACAACCCAATGTATCATGACCATTGTAATATCACTAACATTACCCACATAGATCATTTAAAAAATATTGAAATGCGTCAGATAAACGTTATCTGCACAATAAACGATTAATCTTATTATCTAATCATGAACTCGATAAACTTGTTGGAAAATATATCATTTTGAGTTCTTTCCGCTTCTTTTTTGTTACTGGTCCAATGAGTGAAAATTTTCTGTATTCATGGGGTGGTCATTTTTGTTTGATATTGATATTAAGCAAAAAATAGCTGATGTCTATTGATTATCTGTAGCTCGTGAAATCCATGGAGGGGACTGTGAAAGCTTTTATTATGGATAATTAACCATAATTTATGAAACATATTAAATGCAATTTATTGAGCAGTCAAACGGAAACAGCTAATTTCTTAAATGATAAGATTATGATATTATTTCTTGCTGTTCTTTTTCTTCCTTTCTTCTGGATTTTCTTTTGAGATTTCTCAATTTAACAAATATCATATGTAATATGATCGGCTCTTTTCGGAAAGTTATATAATTTCATGGTACAAAATAATCAAGGCTTGCATACATACCATACTCAAAAACAGTTCCATCATCATCATCAACAGTCCATCGACACCCCAGTCATTAGTCAAGGGTTTTGCTGCCTCTAAAGAATTTCCAAGTGACCACAATACATGAACCATCGTATCCAACTCGAAAATGCGACCATAACAATTCTAAAATCACATTTCCTAATGAGAAAGATCTGGTCAAAGCCAAAGTCTCGAACCCTCCGGCCAGGGGTATTTCCAAAGAGTTATCTCTTAAACTTTTAAAACTAGAAATTAGCAGTAACATATTCATAAAGAACTGATTTTACATTGATACTTTACAGTGGCCCATTGTAAATAGAATCTGCAACATGCTAAACGGTTTCACTTGCGAACATTTAAACTACCAAGGGTGTATTGTTGCGACACCTATGAGTTTCTGACTGATGATGCACGGGTTTAACGTTTCCGCCTTGGTCACATTGATATTGTGGCTGTATAAGTTTACACGTTCTCCTTGGTTTATCTTGCAACGCCTCCCACAGGATATATTCGGAGAAATTGCCCCATGAAACTTTGCATTTCTCTGATTCTTCCTTTGTTCCTTTGTTAGAGCATAACTCGTGTGACTCATTGATCGAAATACCTTCAATTTTTCTACCCTCGTCTTTCAAACTTTTTTTTGCGATTTTGTTATTTCTAGCAGTTTCGCAAATTTCTGTTTCTTTTTTTTTCTTTTTTTGGCGGCTGCAGGTCCGACGGTAAGCTCCTACAGGAAATCGGTTTGTTAAAAATGTTCGGTTAAATCATATAGATCACCTGAACGGCCTTAGAAATTCTTTCTAGTTGTTTCATCCATTTTGTCGGTGGGTTGTTTAACTATGTTGAAACCAGAAAAAAAGGTTATTGGTGCATAAACAGGTTATTATATTCGTTTCCTGGGAACCATAAAATGATAAATGTGTGAATAAAAAATAGAAAGTGTTGGATTAAAGAGTCTCTTTTGATAATAAAATTAGGCATTACCACCCGACTTTTTATAATAGATTATTAGAACTTTGTGTGACATAACGTTAATTATCCCCAGATCGACGCTGTCATTTAATATTTTTAATATTTTCGAAAATATCGTCGACGTTTATCTTTATAAACAAAGGAATGAAAAGCCGAAGGTTTAATATTAGGTAACCATGATGTAAATTTTATTTAATTCAAGTGTTGTTTAACGTAATCAAATCGCTAATGCTAATTATTGAGAAATAAAATCTATCTAGAAAAAACTCGTCCATCGTTTATATAATATATTTAAATTTTGGGTAAGATAAATTCCAGATAACATGTCGTAATAATGATTTGTAATGTTTAATATTTTTTCCCACATTTAACGATTATCTTTTTAATGTAATCAAAAATTTTCCGGATGTGCTGTAACTAAATTTGGAAATAATGTCATTATGACGACGAATTTTCTATACTCATTATTAATCACTTTATTTTGCTAAATCTAGATTGATTCAAAACTTATATCAATTGCTTGAAGATGCACGTGATTATAATGTTATTATCAAAGTTGGAGAGGATCCCAATACAAAGGAATTTCATGCACATTCTGATATCTTGAGAGCACGCTCTCCTTATTTTGATCGAGCTCTTTCAAAGGATTGGGTTACAAAGAATAAAAACAACATGATAAACTTTACAAAACCAAATGTCTCTCCTAATGTTTTTGAAATGATTATGAGGTAACAATCCCTACATATTATTGACCTATATTCTTTCGCCTATTAAATGTCGCGTTTTAATTTTTTTCTGCTTAGATACATTTACACAGGTAATCTTTACTTGAAGGAGCAATCTTGTTCTGATATCCTTGACCTTATCGTGGCATCCGATGAATTACTTCTTGATGAAATAGTCACAATTGTTCAACATTATTTGATTAAACAAAAAACTGAATGGTTAAAACAAAATTTTGTTAAGGTCCTTCACACGATTTTCAAACTAGAAAACTGTAAACAACTCAAAAGTTATTGTTTAGAAACGATTTGTGATGATCCTGAACCATTTTTTAATTCTCCTAATGTTCTAACATTGGAAAAAAACATTCTACTTGAATTAGTTATAAAAGAAGAATTAAAAATCGATGAAATTGAATTATGGAATAATCTTATTAAATGGGGAATCGCTCAAAGTTCGGAATTGAGAGGGAAAAACACTTCTAATTTAGGTAGTTGGAATAAAAAGGATTTCTTGGTTTTGAAGAATACTTTGAACCAATTTATCACACATATCCGTTTCTTCGAAATTTCTGCAAAAGATTTTCATGGCAAAGTTTGGCCTTTCAAGAAAGTGTTACCCAAAGTACTCGTTGAAGATATTTTGTCGTTTCATATGTCAAACATTGAACCTAAGCAAAATAAATTGGCTCCTCGTCATGGAAATGTTGCTATTGGCTCATCAATTATTAATCCAAAGCATGCGGCCATCCTTGCCAATTGGATTCAAAGAAAAGATCCTAATGCAAGAATTCCAAAGGATAATAAATATAGTTTTGACTTGATTTATCGTAAAAGTAGAGATGGTTATGATATCAATACGATACGTAGTAAATGTGATAAACATGGTGCATGTATTTTGGTTATTAAAATCAAAGAAGGTAAAGCTATAATTGGTGGATATAATCCTCTCGGTTGGAAGAGTATTTCAAATCAGAACAGAATGGCTATAACAAAATTTTATTGGGCTGAAACTAGCGAAAGTTTTATTTTTTCATTAGGTGATGGAAACGATTGGAAAAATTTTAAGATTAGTCGAGTTGTAAACAGAAACAGAGCAATGTATGAATCGAATTTTCAAAATATGTCTATAAATTTTGGTAATAGTGATTTGGTTATCAACATTCAAAAAAATCATGTTGAAAATCCTTTTTTTGATTTTTTAAATATTGATGATAGTGTAACAGGTAAGTGCAAACGAGCCTATTATGAACGTGAAATTTTAGATTCAAATAATTTTACTATTGATGAGATGGAGATTTTTAGATTGGTGAATTTTTTTTAATAATTGTAGGTAAATAGTTTATATTATTTTACTTACTATTATACATAAAATAAAACGTTTAAAACATGGAAAAATCGTATTATTTCACCCAGTATAATCATTAGTTTATAAATATTCCAAATCTCGTTTTAAATATTCAGGCCTTAAATATCAATCATAAAATTATTTATATCATGTTTACTAATGTGTCGCCCGTGATTTATCATCAAATTTTATTTCGATTAGTATTATTTTATTATTTTTACACAATACATTTTTATTTATCCGTATGTAGCATACACGTTTTTAAATGCTTTTAAACTACTAAATATTAAAAAGTGCTAAGCTTTGAAATTCGAATATTATGATCACGTGATCACTACGGCTTATTTATCTTAAGTATCGCCATAAATTTTTCACCCCATATTTGTCACCTTGTGTCACACTCTCCGCGTTTTATTAAGTGGTGAAAAATATTATTTTAACGCCTTATTTGTCACCGATCACGTGGGATGAAAATTTTTAAATTTATGGCGATACTGGACAGATTTCTTTCTTTTTGTTATTTTTCAAATAAAACTTTATTAATCCTTCGTCATGTATATAAAGATATTACCTAATAAAAATGTATAACCATCCTAACCACCGAAAATATTTTATTTGACTAAAATATCTTTTATTTTTTTATTTTTTTTTTGGCTTTGACTTGGATAGATCCGGAGTCGAATAAATTTACGTGACATTTTTATCAAAGGAAAAATGTATTTGTAACATCCTGTTACATGTCTTATTTGTAACACCCTTTTTAATAATAAATTATTTTATTAAATATTTTATAAACAAGATTTTTAAATGCAAAATTTAATTTAGAAAACTTTTAC